AGTAAGGCTGCTGAAAAATCGATTATTACAAATGATGGTCGAATTCTCTTTGAATTTCGTAGTGCAAGTTTGGCGAGAACCACATTCAAAAAGTGTAATATAGAACAAGTAGTTTGGTTACATAGAAGTGCTCCAGCAAGCAGTATAAGACTTTGTGGATCAAAATTTATGTCGATGTTGCTATCATCAACATTATCTTTAAAAACCATTGCGTAAAGTAAGCAAGACGCCTGATTCATCAGTGATCTTATAACTGAGCCTGTTGCATCAATATGCAAACAAGAGTAGTGTTCTGATTTACAATAACTTGAAAATCGATTCAGTTGGGCTTCTGTGAAAAAATGAATCGTAAACGGCCACTCAGAAGTCGTTTGAATGAGTTTTAAACCCAAATAATTTTAATTTTAGAAGTTATAAAAACATCGTTGCTTTCAAATAATAAGCGATAGAAAGTCTTTGCAATTACATATACGTTGATCACAAGTTGTCTACTTAAACTTAGCGATACTGTAATATTCATTAAGATTCACTAACAGTGTGTAATGGATTTTATCATTTGCTCAATGATCATTATGGTATGGGTGTGAATGTGAATGAAGGTAATTTCTTCAACCACACCCACACACTATCGATAGAAGCCAATGAGTGGATTCGAGTAAAGCAAACAATGAGAACTGTCGACTCATCGATCTAATGTCATATACTATTTCTTTTCTTCGATCCAGAATTGAGTGCAAAATGAATCGAGATTGATGAATTCATTGTTTGGAATGAGCAATGAGAATCTGAACATGACAGTTTTTATCAAGATCCGTATCCATAGACCACCATTGGCAATATTATCTTCATTAATATCGGCAAGTAGAGCGAAATGAATGAGACGATTCATTGGAGACAATAAAAGTTAGATTTCTGCTACACTGACTCCATGAGTCGAGAGTGATAATCGTCGCAAATTGATCAGTGGCTGCAGTAGTGAAGTTCAATGGCATTTCCATAGTTCTACGATGAGTTCACAAAATATATTTGCGACGGCAAATAGATGGTTCAAATCGACTAGAACACTGAGTAGAGTCAAATATTGAATGAAAGGCACTCTCTCGACACTGAAGGCTCAGTTAATGCTATCGTCAACGTCTCAGGATAAAAGCAAATCGATCTGAGAGAAAGTCATCGAAGATAAAGTAGAAAATGTGTATTGAAAGTTGAGAAAACCTGAGAAATGATGGATCTTAGTACTCGTCATCGGACGATGAAGATCAGAGAATTTAAGCGAAACAATACGAGTTGGAATCATTGATAGTCGGGAATAGACGGAATCGAATTGGTTCTTTGTGAGTGCTACACAATTGAAGTGGAGTCGCTAGCAAGGATACACAAACACAGCACTACAAAAATACTTGTTTACTATACACACTGATCTCAATATATCGATGATAGAAATCTCATCAAAAATCTTATAAATCAATTCGACAGGCGATTCGATCAGATAGTTCGTCAGGTTCTTCTTTTTCTGCTTGTTTAATAGTTCCATTTTGATCAACACTTTTATTTATGTATGATCGATCAGTGAATAACCCCGTATGCAAACAATGACCGTCGAATTTATTCGCCGGCAATAAGTTCTAAAATACAATAAATGGAAACTATAGATTAATACAACATAGAACGCATATTATATGAGGTGAACTTGTTCTTGCAAGAAAAAGAGTGATGTATTTTAGAAAAAAAAAAGTTTTTAATCTGATCTGATGGCACGAATAAATTGTAACACATTTAGATAAGGTGTAGATGAACTTTGTTCTTATTCGACAAGTCTACTTGAGTATAACATCTTTAACTGAGGCAATACTTCATTGAAAGTATGATATAATTTCACTTAAAATGAATTTTTATCAGTTGATCGAACAAGTCTTGACTTATATGCATTCAAATAACATTAACAAGATTTATACCAAATAAAGTCATTCTAACAATTAGCAATACGAATATCAAAGAAGAACAGAGTCATATTACAATTTTTACACACACATAAACAAAAAACTAATAGATAGACTAGAGCCATAAATGAACATTCCAAATGTCGTCTTGAAAATAGTCAAATTGACGCAATTTTGTCTCCTGTTCAAACCATTGACGTGTGATCATTGGAGAATTTAAATCACTGGCAAAACGATACTCATAAATAATGATTACTTGAAATGAACTTTAGTTTGATAGAATCGAAAAATTCGCTGAATGGAAAACAATCTATAGTACAATATACGTACTGAAATTTTCTACTTGATAAGATTACATTAGAGCTTAAGTGAAAATAATTAATATCGTTGTTGTAAGAGACACATTTTCAAAAGCAGCATAAGCCTATATGAACATTCCTTCCGTCTTTTGTTTTGTTCAATACAATGATGTGAAAGGAAAATGGATGCTTAATGCATGATCTAGTGTTTTTTTTTGTCGAAGAGAATCCTATCAAGCTTCTAATAACAATATAACTATAAATATATTCATCGGTTTTCGTAGTCTAACGCAATCTTGTGTGTACTAATTTGCAGTTTCATATTCTATTCAACACATTTTCTCACATCCTATTTTCTTTTTTTTATTTATGCCAACTACACACCTTGCATCTTTCACATCTATGACCAACTCAGTCAGTGTTAAACGTTCATGAATGTTAATCTTTCTTTATCGATACTCTTATTTCACTTTAAGTAAAACATATCATCACTACGGTAAAACAATAAGCTGAACAATATATTTGATACTCATTCAGATCTAGTAACTTGGAGAGAGAGATTCTGTTTTATCTGACATGATTTTTGTTTCTCAGTTAAATAAATTGTGTTTTAAAAATTGTCCAATCTGTTTAATGAAAAACTTGATTAAAGAAGCTGCTAATCAGGCGAAATAATGAGAAAAAAATCCATTACAATTGCAAATAGATGGATTTATTCTAGTCAATCACGCTATTAAGAAACATATGAGTCAAGTAAAGTGATGAGGATTTTTTCAATTTTTTTAAAAACGACTTCTTGAATGTATTTCAAATAGGTAAAATGATGAAATTCTTACAAATAGATCATTTCTTGTGATGACTGACAGATGGTGTGGGTGTGTGCAGAAAACAGGCCAACACGAATGCTAACATCCGTGCCCACATCCACACCCTAATATTAGAATTCTTGTATTAAAAATTGATCATATCATGAAATTCATGATCGATTGTTAAAATACTAGATTTTATGATGATTAATTTTGGTATCGAGTACGCGACTACAACATTACTATTTGTGGATTTCAGATACTTTTCAATGTCGTCTTTATGTAGATGTCAAGAGTTCAAGATATTAATTACTCACAAGATGATACTACTTTAACAATTACGTACTTCACAATATGTTATTTAATACAAAAAAAAAGCATCATTAATAGTGTGTTAGTCCTTAATAAGTTGAGATAGATTTTCCGAAGAACAGATTCATTAGTATCAATCGTAAGAAACAATGAATATGAGATATGAATGTTCTTGTTATTCATACCGAAACAACCTCGAGTTCTAGCACTTTCTGAAATTTTAGTAGGATGTAAATAGAAAAGGATAAGCTTCCACTCAGCATGATAAGCAAGTTTTCGGTTCTTTTGGGCGTACTTGAACTAAAAGTAATAACAAGATGCAACACTTATATGATAGGGAAAAAATGTTACTAAAGTTCTGGAAAAATCATACTTGACAAAATAGTTCATAACATTAAAAATGGCTCTAGAAAGTTCTGTTACTCTCATACATTTGTGTTGTCACTATTTTACAATTCGAATCATACGATTAAGGCTCGCTATCAGCAGCTCATGTTTTAAATTCTGTAGTTTTGCATTCAAAGTGACAAATTAGCTTGAATGTGGCTAAACTTATTTATTGTCATAACAAACAGTTTCATTATTAGTATATTACCATGGTCCATTGAAGGCAAATTGATGTCTTCTCTTCCCATGCACACATATCCTGAATTGTTCTGCAAGCATCGACAGACGATTTCAGTTATTTCATCCGAGCGAAATCCATTTATGGTGTTCAGCTACAATTGCCGATCTCCAAATCATATGAAGATCCAAGCAATTCTTAACTTGATAATTCATCTTTTCTACACTTCATCAAGTGAATAAAGTGTAATATCTAAGCAGAAGACTATTCGTGCTCTTAAAAACTCAAATAGAAGGCCACAATATTAAATCGGTAATATTCAAAAACGACCAATTGTGACGTATGGTGAAAGACTAAAACATGGCTCCATTTTTGTGTTATATAGCTTATAGTTTTTGAGAATAGCATCATAATTTGACATGTCACCTTCGATGGATATTCGATTAGACATTCTGTTTTACGTATTGAAATTGCAGATCAACCTTTTGAGTGTGAGTGTTGGTGTAAAAATAGGATGATTCACATTCATACTGTCTAACTCATTTGGTGTGAACATCGAACAGAAAGTACTACGAAGTTACAAGTGTAGACGAATCACTGTTCAACAGACTGTAGAAATGTCTCACGATATCATATCGACTCAAGTAAATGAAACATGATCGGCTGTGTGATTCATCGACAATCGATGAAAAGTGCTCGTTACCTGAGAACAAAATTACCTTTCATATACATGTTATTTTTATTTTCTTGTTGATGAAGCCGACCTTCCTTTTTGTTAATGGAAAATGTGCATAAGGACACATAAAGACATTCATATGTTCGACTCTTTTTTTTCAAGTAACGTCAATGTTTGCTAAAAGAAAATAATTTTTGTTTTTCTTTCAATTTTTCAATAATAACCATTTTGCATTTATAGTTGAAGAAAAGAAGAAAGAAAGAAAGAAATATGCTCGATTATGAAGAGGGAGGTGTATTTGAGTAGCCTGATTTTTTTTTTCGCTGTATATAAAACATCGTAAACAACCTTCGACTATTACTTATTTTTGTTCTTCAACCGACGTGCACATACAAAATGGTGATGAAATGGAGTGACTTATTTGGAGAAAGTTTAATTGAAGGCAATGCTCGACGAGATAGTAACATTTATCGACATGTACCGATCAGTGAACTCGACAACAAAGTTGTTGCTATCTATTTTTCGTATGTAATTACTTAATTTAGTTATAATTTAATTTAAAAAAAGTTTTTTTTTAGGGCTCACTGGTGTGGACCTTGTCAAAATTTTACTCCAAAATTGGCTACATGTTATGGAGAAGTCCAATCTGAATTACAAGATCGATTTGAAATTGTATTTGTGTCGTCAGACAAAGATGACAAATCTTTCAATGAATATTTTCAAACTATGCCATGGAAAGCTATTCCATTTTCAGGTAGTTCAAATCCTTTCATTATTGAAACAATTTCATTTTTGTGATCAATGTCATTGACACAACTTTTCTGAGCTCAATATGTATTGAGAAATTAGTACACGAATTTTTATCGTAAAACATTAAGGATCATCATTATTTGATTATTAGACATTGTAACTATGAAATAAAACTTAAGGAAAATCGTACAACCTAAAGAAAATAGAAAATAATCTAGAGTACAAATACATAAGATTTGATCTGAGCATTAAGAAGTATTTAAAAAAATGTAAATTTTCTGACCATCTGAGAGAATTTTGTTAAAATTCAGAATTAACTTGAAAAATTCATCAAGTTTTATGAAATAATATATTATACCGTTGAATCTCTTGAAACACAAAAAAATTTTGAAAAAAAAACCTGTACAGATATTAGCATAGACATCAGACTATAGAAAAACGAAAATTTGCTGTTTTCATCTCGACTCAACAAATAGTTTTAGTTTTCTTTCTCTGAATATAACTTAACGAAAGCACTTTTGTATTGAAGAACGAGAACCTGTATCTGTTAAATCAGTAACGAGAAAAAGTAAAAACCTATTAATACTTTAAAATTTCTGGACTTGCATTCCTTCAACACTCGACTTTTAGTTTACCGCATGTCTCGAGATTATCCACCAAATCGGTTCCTTTTGTTTTACAAGTTAAAAGGTTAAATATGGGTCATTCTTATTTGCAGTAGTCAAAATTATATGCTATAGAGAACTATTGACAGTCACACTTTTAGATCTCCTCCATTCAATACTTAGAGTATCACGAGAAAATCTCAAAATTATCTGAAAAAATAGATTTAGGATTGAGAATATGATTGGATTTTTCTATCGAACATAAACTACTAATGCAATTACAACCCAATCTTTGTATTCATATTTTGAATCTTTTGATTTCCGAGTAATCAATACAATGTTGTTTGAAGACTTCATTACTAAAAATCCTTACATTTAAAATCAAAATTACTCTTCGAGTGTAATTAGGCGCGAGTGTTAGAATGAACTTGACTCTCATTTGCAACAACATTCGTTCAGCATCACAGTCATTTTCATCCTTCATCTACCTTCAAAATTTTTTGGCTTGAAATCCTAATTATTGGTGCTGAATTTCTCTGCAATCAAATTCATAGTATTACCTATCCAACCTTCTTTGAAAATTTATTTGACCGGAATGTCTGATTTGTAGTACACAAATTATTAGTGTCGAAAGCAAAATAATTATCAACCTTTCCATACATTAGACTAATTAAAAATAACACTCTGTCATTCATCTTCACCTCTAGTCCTGAGATAACAGTTATTTTCGACTAATCTTAGTGCATACTCAAGAAGAATTTTAATTTGGAAAAATTCTCTGGCTACTGTTCAGCTTTCAAAGCAAAATCATTTTGAAAATTGATAATATGCCAATATTGAATATAATTGCAATTATTAGATGAATTTTTTCATTTCAGATCGAGATCGAAAGACAAATTTGTCTGAAAAGTTTAAAGTAGATGGCATCCCAACATTGGTTGTTCTATCAGCTGATGGAGCCCTGTTAACTCCAGACGGTTGTGATGATATTGATAGCAAAGGATCCAATGCTATTCGATCCTGGTTAAAAGATGAACCAAAATCTTCTACAGTTCAAGGAGAATATTTATGGCCTGGAGTTTCTTGCAATGGATGCCAAATAAATCCACTCATAGGAGAGCGACACAAATGTTCTACATGTAATGATTACAATTTATGCTCTGCATGTCATAAGAAGAAGGTACATGAGCACGAACTCACAGTTGTACCGAATACACTGGCGACAGTTTCAAAACTTGTTTGCAAAGACATAGATGTAAAACCTTAACTATCCAACGGCTTTCAATTCCATACAAAACAAGTAGATTACCATTTAGAGAACTAAACATTTATGAGCTTTTAACAACTATTTTATTAACATTAAAAATAAAATTAAAATTAAAAAAAACTATTCTTTGTTCGAACAAGCTTTTGTCTGTTAAAGGAAGGTAAGATTTTTATTAAGTTAGGGTGTGAGTATAGGTGAGGTATCGGCGTGTGTGCGTGTTGGTATGAGTGTGGATGTCGAGTGCGAGTGTGGGCCTTGTTACTGACACTCACACCCACACCCTAGTAAACGCATTTCTTGCAGTTTTTCTAATAAGCGTTTTTCCAAACTTCTCTGCTTGGGACTGAAGCAAACCCAGCGGCATAACCAGGATTTTTATGTCAATGGGCAAGCTTCTCTTGCGTTGAAAATATCGATGGCCGAAACTTTTTTGTCCTAACAAAGTACAAATAACGTAAAAAACATGCATAAGTTAATGTTGAAGACTCTTTCAATATGTATCTCTGCAGGGTGGGGTATGGCTGTAGCTGTGAGTAAAGAGAGCTATGACACCCACACCCTTTACTTAAGTTACCTTGATCCATAAATACACAAAAAAAGATGCTATGTATGTTGATTTTTATTAATCATTAAAGTAGTGTCAATAATATTCAGATTCAACGATGATCTTCATTTCTCTGAAATTCGGTCTGACGAACTGAACACACGGTTGAAAGTAATGAAGCTTGTAGGTACATCGAAGAAAGATTTGCTAATAGAGCAAGTAATGAACAAATAAGAGACTACTTTCTGCAGCAAACATAAATACATCTCGATCACGATATTCAAGAGACGAACCAACGTATGACAGTAAAGAAAAATGTAAAATAAAGAACTATAAATAGAGAAGAATTTATGTATATACTAAAGCAGCTACAGCTGGAAAGGATTTGTTAGCAACAGTTTCATCTCCATTGGAGGCATTTACCAGCAATACTATCTTATTTTTCGTTGACTTGTTTTCTCTTTCTATCTAATCCTTTAAAAAGTGTTGACACTGTAGAGAGTACATTTTTTGTAGCAGGTGGACAGATTACGGCTCTTATACTCTGCAACCTACCCTGTAAAAATTTTCGTAACTTGGTACTGCCCCATCCTGTCCTGACAAGCAGGGTAGCTTGATGATACCTTGGAGAACTCTAGAGCACTATGATGACGAAGAGTGAGGGTATGGATTTGAAAGTGTATATATATATATATGAGTCATTCTGGTATTCATTTTATCATCTGATCGTCGAAAATGGCCTTTTCTATTTCTCTGTTCCTGTTTAGTCAAATTGTTCAAAATAATTTGCTCAAGCATTTTAATATGAACCAAAAGAGAACGAATGTTTTTGATTAAGTAGTAAAAATGAAATCTTTACTAATGATAATTTATCATCTTATATAAAGAATTAAAGAGAGAGAAAGCGTTCGATGAACAAGTGATTTGATCAGAACAAAACAAATTACCATTTTCGCTACTAACAGAAAACTGAAAGAAAGATGATATTTATTAGCTGAAGTGTACAACGTGTATACGCTCAATGCTGTACAAAGCATTTATTGACTTTAGAAAAACAGATATTATATTCTAACAATCACACATTTAGCTGTTTTTCATTGTCAATCCCTCAATCTTTCATCCAATTGATTTGCGCTTTTTCGTTGTCAACTTGAAACAAATTTCTAAGTATGCGAATCTGGCAATCAGTCTGCTAAACTTTACAAAAGCTTTATAGAAAAGTTAGAAAAAGGTTATTAATAAGCAAAGTTGCACAATTATTTTATTTCTTTTATATGTCTTAACATAATTTCGTTGCAGATTCACTCTAAAGTCATTAAATCCATTTTCATTAAAAATGGGATAGAGAAAACTATCCAGTTTGAGCACTATTTGTCTGCCAAATAGTTGATCCAGTATTATTAATCCATATCAGATTTCCCGAATCCAGCATTTGCAAGCAGAATGGTTTTCCACTGCCGCCATTATTAACACCAGCTGCCCACACTGCAATCGAACTAGTCGTTGTATAAACGACTACATTACGATCTGTTTGTAATTGAAGATGACACGTGATGGATGTTGTGCTCTGACTTGCTGTCCAAATTGTTGTCGAAGTGACGTTCCCATAACCATACGCCCTATAGATACCAAATTGATTGTTTAACATGCCAGCTGCATAGACTTGTGAAGTCGGTGAATAGATAAATTCATTGTTATAGAGCTTTCGATCGGAAGTATTATTTACGCATAAAGTTGATGGTGGAGCTGAAATGGAAGAAAAGAAAAACGATAGATCCACTGTTTTTCTAAAAACTAAGTCAAGAATCAGTCGTTTCTGAAAGTATTTCTTGCATAGTAGTCGAGCACTGCTGAAAAGCTGTTGATCGAATATTTATTGTTGAGAGATGCTTCTTTTGTCACAAGCCTCTAGTAGTATAACGCTTAAATAGAGAAGTGTAAGCTTAATAACATCATTTAAAAGGTCTAAAGTAATTGACTTTGTACTGATGATAATGAAAATCTATTCAGGTTTTTCTTCTAGAATCGTGAGAATAGTTGTATCTTGATAGTGATCATGAATTTTCTTCTCGCAAATTAATCTATTTCTATGAAATTTAGCACAACAATATAGTGCACTATTATAAATAATCAAAATTTTTCTTTAGTAGTCTCGAAAAGTATTTTATCAATTACATTCCTTGGATTTTTTTTACCTGTAGTGGTCGTTACCGATGTCGTTGTGCTAGTTGTTGTGACTGTAGATGTGGTGGAAGTGCTTGTAGTAGTGGTTGTTCTGCTGGTAGTTGTACTGGTCGAAGAAGTCGTTGTTACTGAAGTCGTGGCTATAGTATTGATTTAACAAAGTACACAGTCAGTAGAGTTCAACGACTTCAAAGAAGAACTGGTTCTTTAGTATCCTTAATGTCTATTTTATTTCAATCCGTTATAACGGTTGAGTTCACCTCAGTTGAACTAAGAACAGTACTTTTCACTTACTCGTAGTACTTGCTGTTGTTGTGTTAATTAAAATAGTAGTACCCGCCACTAAACGAAAAATGTAATAACTTAAATGCATATTTATCTGTTTCTGTTGAATAGCTCACTGCTTGTTGAAGACTCAGTCGAACTAGATCCTATAGGAGAAAAACCAAAACAAATTTTAATTTTGAAATATTTTAACTAAAATATCTCCAACTTTTGCTCACCTGAATTTTGCCAGACAACAACAACACCGATCATCGCACTTCCTGATACTACTATGCCAAGAATTAATCCAATAGCAAATATTTTTGTTCCGGAACCAGTTGATGCTTTTGTTGTCAATTCAGAGGCAGTTACATGACTAAAAAATATAAAAGTCGACATAGCAAGGCATATCTCCGTTACAATAATGCTATAAACTTATATCTAGAAAATGACTTGGATTCAAAGAATTCTGGATATGATATCATCATCAGAGCAGGACTATTCAAACGTATGATAAGTGACCACTTACTTTGTTGATGTCGGAATTATTTCTTGCCGCTGATTCGTTATTAATTTCGCTGTTGTTGTTTCATCCCAACAGCGTTTTATAGGAGTACTAGTCTTAGGACTCGGATTCTGAGCAACACTCTGTTGTTTAGATAACGAAAGAACATCATAGTCAAAGTTTAGCTCATTCGTGTTGTTAATTTGCTGTTCTAAGTCGTAGATACGATGTAATATGCTCATTCTTTTTCTTGTGTTTTATTTTAAAAATGAATTGTATGTTTTCAATCTACTTCTATTCTCTGCTTTTTATTTCATCTTATTATCGATGAAAAAAAAATGAAAAGAGGACACTCAAGTACTCGTATTTTAAATTAGGCAAATAAAATTAGACATTGATTATTAATTTAAAATATGAGCACATGAGTGTCCTTTTTTCATTTTTTTTGTCGATAATAAGGTAAAATAAAAAGCAGAGAATAAAGGTAGATTGAAAAAATATAATTCATTTTTAAAATAAATCAAAAGAAAAAGCTGTTAGCGCAATCCCTTGCAGAATTAAAAAAGTGAGACACGATGTACCTGCTGTCGCCAATCTTATAAAAATTGTTCTTTTTTGAGCAGTCATCCTATTCCGCAAAGTTGAACATTCCGGAACCAGTTCCAACCCCGGAATCGTTTCCAGCGATTCCAGAATAGAATATACACCGAGTCCACAACAATTCTTAGGAATTCCGTTTAATTCCGGAATTCCTCAATTAAACAACACCGGAATCGCTGGGAATTGCTAGGAACTCCGTCCAATTCCGTCTAATTCCGGAATTACAACTTCTGTTTTTATTCTATCAATCTTTATCGATGTAATAACCATCCGATTCCGTTTAGAAATTCCGGATTTGAGCGGATCCGGAATCGGTGGGAATTGCTAGGAATTCCGCCCAATTCCGGAATTACAACTTGTGTTTTTATTCTATCAATCTTTATCGATGTAATGACGATCCGATTCCGCTTACGAATTCCGGATTTCAACGGATCCGGAATCCGTGGGAATTGGTAGGAATTCCGTCCAATTCCATCCAATTCCGGAATTACAACTTGTGTTTTTATTCTATCAATCTTTATCGATGTAATGACGATCCGATTCCGCTCAGAAATTCCCAATTTCAACGGATCCGGAATCCGTGGGAATTGGCAGGAATTCTGTCCGATTCCGTCCGATTCCATCCAATTCCGGAATTACAACTTGTGTTTTTATTCTATCAATATTTATCGATGTAATGACCATCCGATTCCGCTTACGAATTCCGGATTTGAGCGGATCCCGATTCAGTGGGAATTGGTAGGAATTCCGTCCAATTTCATCCGATTCCGGAATTACAACTTCTGTTTTTATTCTATCAATCTTTATCGATGTATTGAGGGTGTGGGTGTGGGTGTGGGTGCTGGCGTGAGTGTGGGTGTGGATGGGTGTGGGTGCGGGTGTGGGTGTGTGTGGGTGTGGGGTGTGGGTGTGTGGGTAGGTATGGGTGTGGGCGCGGGTGTGGGTGGGTGTGGGTATGGGTGTGGGTGTGGGTGCGGGTGTGGGTGTGGGTGTGGGTGTGTGGGTGTGTAGGTGTGGGTGTGTGTGTGTGATGAGAAGATATCCGCACCTACACTCACACGCTCATCTACACCCCACACCCGCAACCACAGCCACACCCTACAGTTATAACGCTCAGCCGATGAGTGTGATACGAAGGCTGTGCGGTTCTGGAATCACTAGGAATTCCACGAAATTCCTTGCAATTCCTTGCGATTTCGGATCGGTCCAATACCTGGAATTCCGTCCCAGAATTACATGTAGTTATAAGGCTTAGCAGATGAGTGTGATACCAAGGCTGAGCGGTTCCGGAATCACGAGGAATTCCGCGGAATTCCTTCCCAATCCTTGTGATTCCGGATCCATCCAATACTCGGAATTACATGTGGTTATAAGGCTTAGCAGATGACTGTGATACGAAGGCTGAGCGGTTCCGGAATCACTAGGAATTACGCGGAATTCCTTTCGAATCCTTGCGATTCCGGATCCGTAAGATACCCGGAATTACATCCAGTTATAAGGCTCAGCAGATGAGTGTGATATCAAGGCTGAGCGGTTCCGGAATCATGAGGAATTCCGCGGAATTCCTTCGGAACCCTTCCGATTCCGGATCCGTCCAATACCCGGAATTCCATCCCGGAGTTACATCCAGTCGTAAGCCTGAGCCGATCACTGTGATATTAAGGCTGAGCGATTCCGGAATCACTAGGAATTCCGCGTAATTGCTTCCAAATCGTTGCGATTCCGGATCCGTACGATACCCGGAATTCCGTCGCGGAATTACATCCAGTTGTAAGCCTCAGCCGATGACTGTAATGTCAAAGCTGAGCGATTCCGGAATCACTAGCAATTCCGCGGAATTTCTCCCAAGTGGTTGCGATTCCGGATCCGTGCGATACCCGGAATTAGATGCAGTTATAAGCCTCAGGAGATGAGAGTGACGCCAATGCTGAGCGATTCCGGAATCGGATTGTGGCCTGGTTGAATTTAGTTTCGGAATCGGTGGAATTGATTCCCGGACGGGAACTGATTCCGGAATGTGCAACATCGCGGAATGGGATGTATTCTCTCTTTTTTTTATGCATATTGGTGTACATTTCTTCATCGTGGCTTACTTTACATTATAGAACTGAAACAGGATAATACGCCATATATGCTCCAATCATGTGTTAGTTTTGTATTATCTCTGATAGTTCCTTGAACTCTTCCTCAACAGTCTATGATGACTTCTGGAGCTTGTCTGTCACGGTCTGTGATGGGTGTGAGTGTGGGTTGAATTAAGAACTACACCCTCATCCCCACACTCTCGACGCCAGTGATTCTCATATGCACTCTGTTTATTTCAAATTTAAATTTTTACAAGTTTACTTTGAAGATGGTAACTTGACTCTTTAGTAAACTTAAAACTTCGGCGAATATCGAAATTTAAGATCACTGAAAACATACGAGTTCCTTCTTCGCTTACTGTGCGCATGCATGTAAATACGAAGTCTCGACCCTGATAAGCCTTTTTTCTTTTGTTTCTTTCTTTCTTTCTCTTTCTACCCCGCTTTGCCAGATAGTGAGTGTTTGTGGTTCTTATCTCATCTAGTCTTTATGTATGTGTGCGCCATAAACTAGCCCGTCCTTTTTTCCCCCGTTTTCATTCTCATTCTTCTTTTCTCGGGCTTGTCGTATGCGCATTTTCTGTTTTTGCGCGTATCAACTCACACATAACAATCTTTATCTCCTTCTATTATATTTCAAACCTTCCCATTCTTCTTTCATGTGTTCGTAGTTCGATCGCTAAGTATTAAATATCAATTCTATAGGCTGGAAGCAATTTATAGTGACGGATGTGACTACTGCGTCTATCACCACGATATCTATCATCAGTGAGAAAAAAAGACGCGACTCTGGGGATTCGTAGGGAACTTGAATAACGGATTAGACTTCGTTAGATCGAAATAAAAAGTGGGAACCCTAAATCAATATACATTTGTTTTCCATCGAAGTGAAAACCAAAAGAAAAGGTACCGTTTATTACGAGAAAAACAACGAAACACTTCCATCTCGAAATCATGAATGAATGTGTACGCAGAAGTAAGACATTTATATTTCTGATTCAACCGAGTTCATGCCAGAAATGAACTACAAAATAATTCAAAATCTCTATTATTAATAGAACAGATTTAGAATCTTTAGACGATCTATATAAGTTCTATAGAGCATCTATATACATTCTATAGAGGATCTATGAAAGTTCTATGAAGAATCTAACAGGGTCTACAAGGGTCAATGTTTCCGCTCTCACTCTCAGTCAGATGATATACCCTTTGTGTGCGAGACAGTGTTTCCACCCTTATCCTCAGTCAGGTGATGTGTCCTTTGTATGTGACTGTGTTTTCGTCCTCATCCTCACTATCATGATGGCAGACTCTGATAGACCCTGACGGATCCTGATAGATCCTGGTAGACCCTGATAGACTCCGGTAGACCCTGATAGATCCTTATAGACCCTAGATCCTGGTGGATCCTGATAGACCCTAGATCCTGGTGGATCCTGATAGACCCTCGTAGACCTTGATAGACCCTCGTAGACCCTGATAGACCCTCGTAGACCCTGATAGACTCTAGTAGATCCTGATAGACCCTAGTAGACCCTGATAAACCTTGGTAGATCCTGGTAGACTGGTAGGTCCTGATAGACCCTAGACCCTGGTGGATCCTGATAGAGCCTGGTGGACCCTGATGGATCCTGATAGATCCTAGGCTCCGATTGACCTTGATAGACCCTCGTAGACCCTGATAGACCCTTGTAGACCCTGATAGACCCCTGGTAGATCCTAGTAGATCCTACTGAAAAGCTTTGTAATTCATATGCGTCATCCAGTGAACAGAATATTCAAAGAAGTTCTATATTTCGAGTCAGCATAAAAAGAGTGCATTGAATGAGATGTAGTCTTTTCAGCTGCTTATAGAGTGTATCTCAACTTGTTAACAAAATGTAACAGGGTGGAGACGGCTCATTTTGGCAAAAGTCGTTTTCTGTATAATTCTAGATTGCTTTCAAGATGCTGACAATGAAAAGGTTTTAAAATGGAATTTTTGAGATAAAAAGATTTCTTTCATCTCTCGACTAGAAAAACTAAAGAGGTTATCAAAATGTACTTTTGAGCATTTCTGCTTTGCCGACACTTTAAAAAGTTTCTAAGCAAATTTATTTTACTAAAGTTTTTGTTTTTAGAGTAATTGGCAATGGTATCACTTGATCGAGTGGCTGATTTAGCCTCGATAATCACGGAACAAGAATTGAAAAATGATGAAGAATTAGTACGGCCCTTAGATCGAAGAATTGATGAATATGCCTATTGGGAACAACAAATTGATGCTGCACTATACTTATTATTGGAAAAAAGGATTATGAATGTCCATATGCTACGAAAAGGTATAGAATCAATCGATAAAGCAGTCTATAATAAATTAACCTATTATGAACGATGGGCAGTTTCTCTTGCTAAATATTGTTTGGAATCTGGTATATTAACTCAAGAAGATTTGAATAAGAAATATGGTCCACCTTTACATTCAACGGATGAACAATTATTTCAAGTTGGTGATAAAGTACGTGTTCGTCATGAAAATTATGCTACTCGTTGGATTAAACCTCATTTACGCACTCCTG